CGGGCTCGCCCTGCTGCCTTCAAAGCCGTACAGGCTGTACAGCCTGCCAATTAGCTCCGTTAGTAAACATCCTCTCTCAGTCTGAGATAGTTTAAAATAGATAGGAAGACACAGCTGCTCTCTTCCTGCCAGACCGTACGTGCGCACGTGCAGCATCTCCCCTAAAACACCAGTTCTGCAGCATTTACCCCATAGCCAGCGATAGGCGTCGGTGGTGTTCTCTGCTGTGGCACACCTGAGAAATGCCACCCTGCAACGCCTTTGGGAGATGGTGTCCAGCAGAGACGGGGTGATGTCTGTTGTCTTCCTGCGGCTTAGGTGGGCCTTTACCGCACGTGGCAGCAGAGGGTGCAGGCTTTGCAGCCTTTCCCAGCCCTCTGATGGGAGCCCCGCTGCTGCCGAAACACCGAGAGCCGACAGGGAAGGGAGCACCTCCTTCTGACCAAACCGCACGCCGGCAGATTGCCACGCTAAAACCCATCCATGCTAAAATGCTTTCCATGGCAGTTCGCTGTAAATCCCGCTTGGTACAGAGCTCAGCTGTGGACCTCATGCTCTGTGGAAAGCTAACCTAGGTCAGCACCCCCTGCAGTTTCCTCCAGCTGGGGAGCGGGCAGGCTTGGCCCAGCGGTTATCCCGACCGGGAGGGATCAGGACGGGGCAGCCAGACCCGTGGAGGTGGCCGCAGCAGTCTCCTCTCTGGGACCCTGCCACGAGCAGTGGGAACACGGGCTGCTGGTCCCCTGCAGCAGAGTCCCAACAGATGCTGACGGGTGGCCCAGCCATGACCGCGACCCTGCACCTGCCACCGCCGCTCGCCAACAGCTCCGCAGCCAGTGAAGGTCTCACTGAAACCCTGTGTGCTGGGGCTGCTGCTATCCTGTGTTCGTGACAGATGAGCCTCCTCAGGACAGTGGTTTCTTTTCTTCTATTCCTCTGTTTATTACCAACATCTGGACCAAACCTGTCATGCCATTTCTAGCGAGAAGGGGAAAACAATTCCCAAATTACCTGTCGTGCTGTTCCGCACTGTGGCTCCACAGCGCCCTTTAGTTTCTGCAGCAGAGATTGCAACAGCTCCAGGACCTGCCCTGGCCGAAAAGACAAGCTGAGGAAGCGCTGGGGAGCAGCCCTGCCTGATCGCAGGGAGTTTACATCTGCATTAGCCAGAGAAACTCCTGATGTTCAGAAACGGACCGGTAACAACGGCACCCCAAGAAGGGAAAGGACTGACACCCGTGGGGCACCCGCTCTCCCGTCCAGCCGCTCTCTGCCCCGGCCCGTTCAGGACTGTACCCTTTGCTGAGCTCAACCAAATCTGGGCAGAGCTTGCTGCCACCCAGGCCGAGGTGCCGGGAGGGGAACAGCTTCCTTCTGCTGAGCGTTCGTGACAATACTCGCTCGGAAATTACTTTGGTTGCTGGAGAATCCAGACTCAGGTCCTGTGGTGTGATGGGTGCTCAAGTGGAGGATGGGAACTGTCACCGCTGCAGAGGGATGGGAAAGGAGAGCGGGCGTGATCGTGACCTTGCTCGTCTCTTTGAGGGCTGCCCTGCCCTCAGAGGGGCTCCGTTCCTCTGCCGGTTACCCCACAGCAAAGGCCAGGTGCAGGAGGGCTGCAGCGATCAGGCAGACGCCTGCCCAGCCGTGGTGAAGACAAGGCGCTACCAGCACGGCCTGGTGCCGACGCACCCGTGCCCAGAGCTGCAGTCTCTACTTGGGGAACTACACGAACAGCGGCTGTTCCAAGGGAGAGCGCTCAGGAGCTCCAGGCACGGGCTCAGACAACGTCCCGTTTTGCAGACCAGCCCAGAGCGACGCGAGGCAGCTGGATGCCAAGACCCAACCTGTCATCGACAGCCGTAACAGCACAACCCAGCCGGGCTTGTTCACAGTAACGCTCGGGCCGGACCACTGCTCTTCTGTAGAGCTGTTTCTTATCATGTCAAAGAGGTGAACACAAGGCACCACTGCAGAGACAGGGGAAAGGCCACCGCTGGGAGCAGAGAACGGCAATGAAAGCTCAAGCTCATGGCAACAGAAGCAAAGGAAATGTTCAGGCACACACCTACCCGAAATGCCCAAAATGCAGCTCAAACAAATTACTTTTAATACGGTTTTCTGTCTGCCTGCAAAACAGAGCACTAGGTGGCTGCTTCTATCCGCGTTTAATTCCCACGTACAGAAAGTCAGCACGTGTGTGTTAACACAGTTCTGCCAGGCCAGCTACTCCCTCCAGCTCCTGACACGTTTCATTCCTTCTTCTCCCTACAAAACTTCAGCAGCAAAAGCTGGATTCATTTTCTCTGCACCTGTTGGCAAATTCACACTGAAACCCTGTGCTTCTTACCAGCATTCTGCTTTTTTTTAAATGCATCCAGCTTATTATAAATAAATATTCTCACAGAGCAATTACTCATCAGGAAATGGTACAGAGTCAAAAGCCACAAGGTACTGCAAAGGGGAGGGCCGCTCTCTTGGTTTTAGGGAGCCTACGAAATGGTTAAATAACGACTACTTTTAATCACTTAAGAATGTGTACCATTTGTCTGGGGAAATGAAGAACCCTGCAGCAAAGCGTGGACGGCAGATCCCCTCCCCTGATTTTCCATGAGCACCAAATCAGCTCACGCAGAGCATATGCACACCAGCTGCTGGGTTTATGTCTTTATTCTCTGGGAGGGAAGTTGGTGGAGCTCAGGCAAAGCAGGGCAGACAGCCCTACTTCGAGAACTATTTCTTACGCTTCAGGGCTTCGATGGCTGATGAATTCCTGGAGCAGAGCTTGCGCTTCTCCTCGCCGACTCATCTTGGTTGCCTTGCCCTGAAAGCGGCCTCGCTTCCCAGCGCCTTTGCCTCCCAGCAGCTCTGCCACCCTGCGGTAACAATGGTTCAGGCTGAAGGCCGCTCACTCGCAGAGAAGAGGGTGGCCTGTCCTAACGTGCTCCAGAGAGCAAACAAGGATCCGTGCCCCAGTTATGCTGCTCAGCTGCTTAGTCTGCAACATCAGAATTCTTCCTAATTTTAACGAAACCACAGAACATGTTACCTGGGACCTAAATCCTCAACTGCTTCAACAGGTCCAGCTAAAAGAAACAGTCCAGCTTCTTTTTCATCTCCCACAGTCAGGAAGAGCAGGGTTTCCTGTGGATGGAGAGATGGATCTTGCCCCAGAATGACCAGGGCGCTCCTTGTCCGGGAGGAGGACAGAGACACTGGCCACAGGGCCCATCCACGCATGAAACAGCTGAGAAGTTTGTGCGCGTTCCTGAGAGAGACTCAATTTGAAGGAAGTAAAAGGGAGGGGGGCTTTTGAACCTTTTACGCCCAATCACACGCTGTGGGGGGCAGACGGGTACTGGGGTGTCCTAAGTTGAAAGGATACGGTCTGGAGTTGGAGTAGATGGATCGTTGTAGGTCCCTTCCAACTGAAACAGTCTCGTCTGGTCTACCCTACCCTACCCTACCCTGCCCTAATCTATTTGAAACAGCCAACAAGGATCTGTACAGCTCTTCAGGGGACAGGCTCTTCTGCCGTGCTCTGAATTTTCACTGTTGTATTTCCCAACTGTTGGGGGTTCCCCTGCAGCCTGAGGCCGCTGGGGACAACCACCTCATGGAACTTTTGAAAGGAACAGACCTGTAGCTTGTGACTATGGTCCAAACAGAAGCCTGGCCCTGCCTGTGCTATAGCTTGAACAAAGAAGCCAGTGGTGTCAGGTTATTCTTCATCAGTGACTCACCTCTGTCCCAATCTCATTAGCGATGATATTCATAAATTCAGAGTCACCCTCCTTCCTGTATGGATGAGTAAAAAAAAAAAACTTCAGAAAGAAGCCAAAATCCCCTCTAGAGTCCCAAGTATCAACCAGAAACCAAAGGCCTGATCAGGCCGGGGGCTTTGGCCTCTTGCTTTTAGGATGGAGATCAGTTTTTTTTCCATACACCTAAATCCTCATTGTGAATTCCTGCAAACATACTAGGAATTATTTAAGTGTTTAATAAACAGAGCTCCTCATTTTTATTTGAAAATATCAAGGGCAGAAAGAAATCAGATGGACACAGTTACTTCTTAGCTATAAAACCTGAAGAATCAGTGACTGAACTACTGACACATTCCTTTCACTACACAAACTTCAGCAGGCTGAAGCAGTTTAATATTCTGTTCACTTCGGTCTAAATTCTTCCTTGAGAAACAAGCCTGAATAGGTGTCGGAGAGATGCAATGCCATAGGACATGTAAGATACCGTTCTACCCTTTCCCTGAGCTCCCCATACCTGTGCAACACAAACAGCCGACTCTGAACGGGTTTGCTCTTGAAGTCCCGGGCTATCAAAACAGCAATGTCTCTAAGCAGGTTCAAGTTATTCTGAAAGAAGAGCAAACAACTGCAGTGCAGATGGGGAAGTCGGCGTGAACACTGAGCTGTGCTCCCAGAGATGGGAGCGGTTTTCACAATATCCACAAAACCCGATGTCTACGATTCAATTCCCGGTTATTGTGACCAAAGCTCAGGTCTGCAGCAAGCAGCCACAACCTGCCTTTCCCAGCCATCCTCGTACCTTCTGAAGCAGTTTCACAGAGCTCTGCAGTCTCTTCACAGCCTCTACGTGCTCACCTGGGCCATTTCTGAAAGAACAAGGAGAATTTGGATTGCCGCTCTGAAGGACAAAGAAAGGATTTCTTAAAGGACCAGCATCATAAAAGCACCGCGTAGCTGTACCCTGAGGCTTATGTGGCATTTGTCAGAAGGAATAGTAAAGATGAAATAATCAAAAAGGAAAGGGTATTACTTGAGCAGTGAGGTCAGAGCCTTCTCAGTACTGTGACTTTGTTCGATTGACTTCAGCACTCTGTTTCCTGCCAGGAAAACCAAGTTGGTTTTGTTCTTTTTCCCTTTTTCTGTGCCAAGGAGTTTAATAACCTTAAAAAAAAAATAAATAAATCACCCTGGTCAGAAATAACAGTACTTTGCTTGGAACTGGTGGTCAGTTCCTACCAGACTATCCTTGTTGTGAATATTGGCTCTCTGCCAGTGAAAATAAACTGATTAAAATCAGCCATAAGGTCAACGTGCAAAAAATAAGGATGGGGATACAGTGGAATTAATACAATTTGCCAGTCACAGGCTGCACTCTGCAGCACATCTGGATGCCTCTGCTGGGACACAGACACCAACAAACGACCAAACACAGAGACACTTAAAGTCAGCTCTAGAATTTTATCTCCACCTCCCTGCACGGAGCATTTCTCATTCACGAGAAACACCCAAGATACCGGAGCTGTAAGCACAGGGAACGGACGGCCAGCAACGCAGCCATGGCAATGCACCGCGTGCCCTCCGCAGAGGCACCAGCAGTTCAGGAGATACCGCTGCTGCAGGCGAGGGCTGAGCTCCGCTCCGTTACGAAGAAGGGAAGGAGCCTGACTGATGCTGTCCAGCGTGTGGCCCTGCTGGAGCTCACCCAGCACCGGGCTTCCGCTGCACCCTTTGCCATGGAGACAATTTCCAGCAGCCCCTGGACAGCAGAGACTTCTGCTGGGCCGGGTGTGAGCGTGCGGAGCGAGGCTCCCACGGGCAGCCCAGCTGCAGCCCCTCACCTGCAAGTCACTCAGGTTGGAGACATGAGTCCCACAGCACATGTTGGAGTCTATGCCCTCGATGTCAACAACTCGCACCGGCCCTGCGTGGTCATCCGGCAAACCACGGCTTCTCACCTAGCAAAAGGAGGGCAATGGCAAACCAGGTGACACCCGTGGCACTGTTACTTTGGTCCCACGGATATCACCAGCTCTCCCCACCACTCACTGTTTCCACTTCAGGGTCATCTGCAGCCAGTTCCCTCACCATCACAGGGACCCTCTCCCGGATTTTCTCGTTCACGCTCCTCTCCAGGGCCTCGATTTGAGCAGCTGTCACGGAGGGGGTGTCCAGCTCAATGACGCTTCGCTGACGGCCCAGCTCCCTGCACCGATGAAGAACATCTGCTGCTGTGGCTAAGACCAGCTAGAAGGTCCCTCTGTGCAGCACTAAGTCCACCCCACCGCTGGGAATGTGATGACTGAAACAAAACACTTCCCTCCTCCCCCTGTTATTTACAGAGGGCCAGATGCTTACCACACACTTGGAGGAGGACAAGACAAAGCAAATACTTTGCACAGCTCCTCTCCAGTTCAGGGACCTCTCCCAGGCCCTCTGAGCTCAAGTGAAGCATCCAAGAGCAAACCGCTTTTGATTCATCAACGTTCAGCTCCCCGCGGCCCAGCACGGTGGCACACGGCAAACAAGTTACAGCTGGGACTGGGGTCAAACGGAGCCTTTTCCCTGCTCACCATGAAGTTGTCTTGAATCCAAACATCTGGTCCGCGATGGCAGTGATGAGGTGCTGCCCTGGAAGTGACACGCAGGCAACAGCTTTGAGTGCCACCAGCCCCAGGAAAAGAGGTTTTCAGTCGGATCATATTTTTCCTGCCAGCATTCCCTGTGACATTTGCAAATGCCCAGGCGGGTGCTCGGCACTGCGGGGCTTACCCTACTGCTCAGGAGCAGAGAGAAGAGGCGGCCGTTGCCTCACGGCCCTGCGACCCGGAGCGCGCCAGGCGCACGCCGAAGGGTCGGGAGCAGGTTGAACTCCTCCTCCCAAGCCCGTTCGCAGCAGGTTTGGTTCCGAGCCAAGGAGAGCCCGCAGGGGAGGCGTCTGCCCTCCCACGGCCCCGGGATGCAC